GGGCGGGGGGGGGGTAGGAGGCATCCTCATTGAGCTGCCCGTCTCAAACTGCATGAACTTCATCCAGACAAGCAACTGTCATTCAGAAAGAATGGACCCTCACTTCCATAGCCATTGGGTTTTGACCCTTCCTTTCGAATCCGGACCACTTGCTCGATTCTTCCGAATCTCACACACCTGTACTCTGATTTCACGACCCCAATCACGGCTGCGCTGACCTCCCCATCTGCGCTTCTCCTCAGCCTCACGGCCAGCTTCTTGGCCCGGGTCCTGTTGCCCACCACTGGGTGGCAGTAGGGGTCTTCAGGTCGAAAGTACAAGGGCAGAGTCATGGGATTTTCCTGCATGCAAGGAAGCTGGAGGATGGAAAGGCCATCGAGTAGAGGTGCAGCCACACCGGAAAAGCGCACCCCTGTGGTGCTTCGGTATAAAATTTCTAGTAAGGCGCACAATCCACCACCCCCAAGGCACCTGGAGGTGGCGGGACATGGCTTCCAGGCCACCCATCATTGCCAGCGCCTTGTCTGGGTTCTCCACCACCCCAGGGAATTCGACAGCGAGGCACTGGGCTGGATTCGCCGGCATGGTCAGCTCCACTGCATGGCAGCCAGGTTCAGGGACACTGGATGCCGGGAGGGGGCTGACCATGAGGCCTACAGTTGCCGAGGAGCTCCGCTGTGAACTCGTCGCAAAGGACCGTCAAGATGCCCACAATGTCGGTGTGGCCCCTTCCCTTGCGATTTTGTGTTGATCGCAATATGATTTAGATCTATTAACATGAAGCACCGTTGAATGAAGATTACTCTTGATGCGCAAGATCACTATGCGGTTCGGGCGCCGAGCGCATGCTGACCGAGCATGTGTTCCTGCAAGAATGACAGCGCAGGGGTACTATAAGCCACATAGACACGCCAGATCAAATTGCTCGTGTAATTTGTCAAAACCTGTGACCAGTGCTTCCTGGAAGAAGGGGAAAATTCTCGCGGAGATCGGGGCTCCTGGTGCTGGTGCACTCGTACCAGGGGTGGAAGGGAAATAACGATCCCCAGTCGTCTACCAAAGAGCGCCATAATGTCAGCGCTGACGAGGGCTCGCATTTCGTCCTTCCTTGCCGGCGTGGCCGTCGCGGGTGCCTTTGGGGTGTTCCAACTCCGGCACGACCTGGAGGAGAGCCGGGCAGTCCTCTCTCAACAAGTGCGCGGTGCACTGCGTGCTGGAGCTCGCATTTTTTTGGATTTGTTTTATCTACAGACTGCTGTATCAATATGTTGTCCTCACAGGTGAAGGAGTATGCTGCCCAGCTGGAGGGGAGGGTTGCCGCCCTGGAGGCATCCTCTTCACGCAAGTAGACCAATGGCAGCGACTGCAGACGCCTCCAGGTTTACGCCACGATTGACGACCAAGGCATTTGGTGGCGTATTGCCGTCCATCGAAATGCATGTCGAGGCTCAACATCCACTGTGTGCAGCGTGACAACCCCTCTCTCACAGTGTCGACAAGCATCCCAGGCTTCTACCAATGCTGTTCAGTGTTACACTTTGGATGTAATGCTGGGTGCTCTTGCATGCATGCAACTGAGCAGGAAGCCTCTCTGGTGACCTAAATATACACATGACCAGCTAAATGCTGTTTGCCGCAGAGGCAGTGGCGGGAACTTCAAGCATTCGCAAGCTTGGGTGCAGTCTGGTGAGGAGGGTATGGTATGGGGATCCTGCCCTTGCTGCTGGAATCCAAAATGTAGGGATGCTTCTCAGCTTTCCTCGGCCGGCTCTGTGAGCAGGAAGAGGGAGTGTAGGTTTCATCAGAGCAGGAACTGGTGCAGTAGCATGCATGCTTAATGCTCAATGCAGGATCAGCACTTGAAGTGTGCCTCACCTTGCCAAATGATCCTCTGAAGATCTGCAATAATTTCAGAGAGAGTTTGACGTCAGAGGGCATCCAGAGGGAGCAGTGATCCCTCGATTCAGTCGACACCAATCTGCAAGCACGCGCAAGCGAGCTCATGTCAAGATTAGCAAATGGTCACGGCCATCACCCGACATTGCCTTACCTTTCCCTTGCGAGTACTGGCATCCCTCCTTCCCAGTGACGCTGCGCTGGTGTGCAGGCAGTGTGCCTGGCAAGGAGACCCAGTGCTGCATGAGCACGGGGCCTGCGGAGTTGATGCACATGCCTGTGTCAGGGGTGCAGCCGCAGTAGCACAACTTTCTGTGGGGCGAGTCGCAAGGAGACGGAACGCTGCCCGGCGCAACATGGTTGTGCCGCAAGATTGAGCACTGTCTCGAGTCTCCTGGCTAAAGGACCCCCCAAAGTACGAGGCGCAAGATACTTTCAATCAATCTACATCACCAATTTATGTATTGAAAACTTTATGCGACCCATCTGAGGCATCAGCTCAAGGGCTCTGATTAGGCACTCCTGCGCGCGTGTCCGTGGGCAACGGGTACCCACCAATTTACGCAAGGGTACCACGGGACCGCCCAGCGGACCATGCACCGCCGAACCCTCACCCTCACGCTGGCACCACAGGGAAAACCACGAAGTTTTGATGAATGGAATCAGGGAATGCACATTACTTATTCCCCGAACGTGCTGCTGGTCCACATATTCGGCAACACAAAGTTGTCGTCCAGCTTCCGGACGGTGCATGGCGCGCCCAGCTTAAACGTCGGGACCCGAAGGACGACGGGTAGGGCCCCGCACCAATACCCAGCATGAGACCCAAGCAGTTCCTCGCGGCGCAGGTGCGTTTGTCCCTCTCCTGCCCCATCGCGCGGGCCTCGGGCCTGCAATGCGAGGGTTTCAATCGGGGGTATTCCATGCAGCCACATACCGACCCCCGCACTCTCACCCCGCCCAAAGATCTGGTATGGCGTCAGTGGCGGCGCTCCCACCTTCATCCTGCCCTTCCTCAACATCTTCTATTCCGATACCTTGAAATTCTCTGCGGCCCAAATCGGTCTGCTGGCCGCTATCAGACCATGGGTGTCAGCCCCCTGCGGTGAGAATATCTTGGTTGTGCGCCGGGGGTCTACCCAAACCAACCCACTCCACCGTGCCGAGCATGCTGGAGCAGCACCATGTAGTGGAGTAGATAATGTTGGGATGGTCAAAGTCCTGGATTTCTACCCCTGCAGGCAGCATCATCGCAGGGCTGGCGGACAGGGGCAGGCGCCATGCTGTGGTGCTCACAGCGTGCTACCTCATGGCCACCCTGGTCCAGGTGGCCTGGTGGAAGTGTTTTGAGGTTGACAATGGCCTTGCATGGGGTAGTGGTTGGCTAGACCATGCCACAGTGCGGCAATTGTCCATTTCACATGCCTGTGTTTGTGCAGCGCCCGACATGTGTGGGTCCAGTACTTGCCAGGGGCCATTCGATGAATGCTGCCGCGCATGCTTCTCACTCTGTGGCTCCCACTCACGCATTCCAGGGCGCCATGGCCCTTGCTGGCTCCTTCCCGCTGCAACTTCTCCTCACACTGCTGGCCTCCGCCGTGTGGGCGCCGCCCCAGATCATCAGCGACGCCTGCGTCATGGCGGCCTCCACCTCGGTGAGGCCTGGTGGTCGTGGAGTGGTGGTCCTGGTGCTCACAGCATGGCACAGGCTGGGGCTGTGCCCCTGGGGACGGCATGCCTGAATCTGGTTGTGCAAAGGCTTGCACGTGCTTGCACATGCATGACATTCCCCCTCAATCTGGCCCCACCTCACCATCCCTGTCCCAAACCTCCCGACCCACCCAGCCCGGAGATTATGGCCGCATCCGGAGCCTCGCCAGCCTGGCCTGGTCGGTGATGGCCCCTGTGGCTGGCTTTGTAAACGGGAGGTGGGGCATCCGCGCTGGGATCGCGGCGTACACGGCCCTCGCCCTGGCCGCCCTTCCCGCGGCCCTTAATTTGCCGCTGGAGGCCCTGCAGGTGGGGAGTTCAAATCGCGCTTCAATTCTTGATGCAGTGGTTTTGCAGGCCTTATTCAAGTGTTCTGAGACTGCAACTCCATTTCCCCTTGTCGCTGCAATTCACTTTGCCTGCTCTTCCACCCCAACATGCATGCTTTCTATTACATACAAACACACATCCCCCGCTGATCTCACACCGCAGGGCTCCCATGGACCCGCCTCGTCCAGCGAGGCTCCCGGCCCAAAGGATGTGGAAGACCTGCATGCCCCCCTGCTCCCACCTGGGACAACAGAGCAGGAGCCCCCTTCTCCAAAGGTGGACGTGGAGGCCCCTCGCTCCTCTGCCCTGGCCTCCGCCCTCGCAATCGTACGCTACATAGAGTCCATCACGGAGATGGGCCTGGTGGCGCCGACCCCCGGGCTGTACGGCTTTGCCGAGGTGTCGGGGCCCTTCATGCAGCGACACCTGGCGCCCCCAGAGCTGGTGGCAGGTGTGTGAATTGGGGGAAGGAGGGGGGGGGTGTTGGTGCGCAAATGGTCAAACATGCCTCAACTCCCATCACTCCCTGGTCAACCCCCCACCCCCTCGAGCAACACCCCTCCTGCGCAGGCTTCGAGGCGGAGGAGGAGGCTCAGCGCGAGGCGTCAAGGCATGTTGAGCCGGCCAGCCCCTCCCGGCTGCCCACCATCCGTGAGGCCCCCTCGCAGCGGTCCCTGCCGCTGCCTGCTGAGTCCCTGCCCCGCGACGAGCGCACGCTGAGGGAGGCGGCCTCACTCCTCAGCGCCTCGGTGCCGGCCGCGCTCCAGCGCCAGCCCTCCCTGCCCCGCCCCATCAGCTTGGGCAACCTGCGTGGGGCAGGGAGGGCCCAGCGCCACGTCCTCGCCACCTCCGAGGTGGGCGGGTCGGCCTGGCGCTCGTGGGCATGTTGCAAGGTCCTCAGCGGGTCGTCACAGGGCAGGTGACGATACCATCCAACAGCACTGCCACGTCGCTCCAACCCCTTTGCAGGGTCCGCATGCCAGCCACTGGGCGATCGAGGAGTCGGAGGTCGAGGATGGCGACGACGAGGCCAGCTACCTCACCGGCCAAGAGTCTGGGAGGGACTCTGGTAGGTGGGTTTGGTGGTCGTGGGACTGCAGGGTTCCGGTGGTGCGATTCACTTGCCATGAGGCATGAAGAGACAAGCTACCCAGGTTGGGAGGGTCTGCATTTGGTTTGTGGCTCCCCGACCGCGACCTACTCCCATGGGCAAGCTTGGGTTGTGACAGTGCATCCCACCCCCTGCCCCTGAAGCCTCGCCCCCCACCCTACACGCCTCGCAGACTCCGACCCGGCCGGAAGCGTGCAGAGCGCCTTCCCCTGGTCGCCACGGAGTGGGGCGGACACTGCCGCCGGCCCCACCCCCCTCTTTGACCTCTCCCGGCACGAGTCGGATGTGGGGGACGTGGACGCGGCTCTGGCGCGGCCCACACAGGGGCTGCCGGCCCTCGGATCCCGGAAGTCCAGCGCCAACGCCCCCCTGCCGCCCTTCAAGCCCGCGCCGGTGGTGGCGGCGCCGCAGGCCGAGGATTCCAAGCCCGGCCCCGACGCGGGCGCGCTGGGCACAACCCCGGCGACGGGGTAAGGCGCGGCGGCCCTGGAGCGCCTGTCCCACCTGTTCAAGGCGGGGGAGGACCTGAGCGATGTGGGCGGGGGCGAGACCAGCGAGGCGCCCACGCCCTCGGGGGCGGGGGCCCTGACTCCCGTGCGTCGCTACATCGACTACAGGTGCGTGTGGCCTGGATGCAGGAGGGCGAGAGGTTTGGCGGAGGGGTGTACCGTCGTATGTCCGAGCCAGGGGAGTTGATGTGTCAGCTTGCTGATGTGGAGCTTGTGCGCTGAAGCCTTCCAGTGCCCAGTTGCACGTCTCGGAGCCTGTGGTCACACCCCCTCCCCCTCAATGTCTGCGCCACGCAGGAAGGGCATGCTGCGGGGCGCGGCTGAGGGGCAGGCGTCTGCGCTGCCGTGCGCTCCGCGCATGCCGCCCTCCACGCCACCGCTCCTGCCCTCCCTGCCCGGGTCGCTGGCGGCCGCACAGGCGGCCATCGCCCCCGCCACAATGCGGGAGGCGGTGCGGCTGGAGGGCGCGAGTGCGCCCGACGCGGCCGGGTCCTACATCATCAACATGCTGGAGGGCAAGCTGCGGCGGCTGGCGCGCCAGGCACGCGCGGAGCGTCGTGCAGCGCAGCGTGCGCAGCGCGAACGCCAGCGCGCGCGGCAGGCCGTCGCCGCGGGGGGGGAGTCCGGGGCGGGGGAGGCCAGGGATGGCCCTGCATCAACTGGGCCTGTCCCCACCGACTCCGACACGGCGTCGGCGGCGGATAAAGCAGGGCTGGACTCCGCCCTGGTCATGGAACTCGCCCCGCCGGGCCCGCCCCCTAGCATCTCGCTCCTCCTGCGAGATCCAGAGGTGGTCTTCTTCTTCGTCCTGACCACCGTCATGGGCCTGGGCCATGGGCTCATCGGCTCCTACCTCTTCATGTTCATCAAGCACACGGGTGGGTGTTGACGTTCAGGGGGAGGGCGCAAGGGGTGTCTTTCATTATCAGTGGTGCCTGGTGGCAGACAGGCTCAGAACGACCTTGATTGCCCGACCAAGGGGTGTGGCACCCTCTGGTGAGGGCCTGGCAAGTGGTGCTTGCCCGGGTCTGCGCACCGTATACTCCCATCCCCCTTCTCCTCCCACACACCCACGCCACACCCACTCTGGATCCCTGAGCGTGCCATGAAAACCTTACCCTACTCCAGGTGGGAGCGAGGCACTGATGGGAGGCGTCCTGATGGCCAACGCCCTGCCCGAGCTCCCCGTCTTCTTCTTCTTCGGCCGCATCGCCCAGCGCTGCACCATGACCCTCCTGCTCTTCGCCTCCTGCGGGGTCCTGGCCCTGCGCCTCCTCCTATTCCCGCTCCTCCCCCTCATCGGCGTCCGCTGGGTGCTGGCCATTGAGACCCTGCACGGCATCACCTTCGCCCTGGGCTGGTCGGCCTGCGCCATGAACAGCAGCAAGATCGCGCCGCCCGGCCTGGAAAGCACAACGCAGGTATGTGTGTGTGTGTGAGGTGGGGGGGTAATGGTGGGAAGAATGCAAACTGCCTCCCATCCCTTAAACTCCTGCTGGCCCTCAGGAAGAGACAGCCTGCATGCTGATGGAGAACCCCCATACAACCCCTCCCACCCCGTCTCCAACAGGCAATCTTCCAGGGGCTGTGGACGGGGGTGGGCACGGGGCTAGGGGGCCTGGTTGGCGGCCTGCTATACCACTCCCAGGGCCCCGCCGCCATGTTCTTCGCCGCAGGGTGCCTCGTGGCGGGCGCCTCCACGCTGTGCGCGCTGGGCATGGCCTGGCACCGCGCGCGGGTGGCGCGCGCCAGCGCGCTGCTGCGCGCGATGAGCTCGGCCAACATCTTGGCGGCCTGATGCTGATTGGAGGCAGGCCGCTTTGTAGCGATGAGGCCTGCACCCTGACGCAGACATACTACACGCACGATCAACTCACCACACCAGTACCCATGCCTGAGCTGATTTCTTGTCCCAGCTCATTCTCACATTTCACCTCCCCACCCCACATGAATGCATCAGTTGCCCACTCCGGGACACCCAGTACATGTTTCCTCACAGCGAGGCCGGTTCATCGCTGGCCCTTTTGCCCCTCTCCCGTGCCCTGTAGCGTTGCCTCATTGTCAAATTAGCCAGCAGGAGGAATGGTGATAGCAAAGGGAAGGGAGAGAGCGTGGAGCAGCAGAGCAGTAGGATGAGTGATGGGTGTTGTGAGCTGGGAACTGGACTGGAATAGGCCCAGAGGCCACGCCTTGGGCGGGGATCTCAAGGGTCCCCCAAGCAGCCGAGCAAGAAATACAACTGCCATGTTCATACTTTCTTCAGCAGCAGGAAGATGTCCTCATCCACGTCCAGGTCAGCGAGGCGCTTGGGGTCGCCGATGAGCTGCATGAGCAGGCCGCCAAAGCTGACAAAGACCTCAGCCCTGACCTGGCCCCCAGAGCTGCTGTCCTTGAACTTGAAGATCTTGCCGTGCATCACGTACTCGAAGTCGTCCGCCAGGGTGCGCCGCGCGGTGGGGCGGACGGAGTCGTAGCTGGCGCCGGAGGGGGTGCCGTCCGTGTTCAGGGTGGTGGCCAGGCAGAGGGCCAGCTTGTCGCCCAGGTCGACGGGGTAGATGTCTACATTAACATCCAGGAGCATGTCCATTTCGAACAGGTCACTCCTGGCCCTGATTCGACTCACTGTGAGGAAGGGGTTTTGGTTAGGGCGGGTGGATTGGAAATGGATGGAGGATGGTGCAGCATGTGTGAGTCCACCGTGCGTAAGGGTCCCCTGCTAGCCAGGATCATTTGTTTGCAGAGCGGGGGGAATGAATCGTCTCTAGTACAACACACACCTTTATCAAACTTCTTGCCATCGGGGTCGATCTCTAGCACCTCAAAGATATCGTTCAGGACCTGGGCCTTCTTCGCTGCCATGGTGCGCACTGGCCAGACGGCGTCGGGGCGCCAGAGCACGCCCTCTCCTCCGTAACAGGTTGATGATCAGTCTATAGGGTTACACGCATGTAAAAATTGTTGTTGGTTGTGCGGGACGTTCGGCCCTCGAGTCAGCAATGGTGCCGAGAAAGGAGGTCTCTCACGGGGAGTGAGGCGCATGCTGAGCCTGGGCGCGACGGACGGAGATCCGCGACCAAGGCACTCTGGGGCCTGCTGTGGCCCTTCTTTTCAACGCCAGCATACACGATTGGCCTGAAAGAGGCAATCACGCCTGTTGCATGCCGGTCTGGTGCTGGAGTGCCCTGCCATGAGTCGGCCCGTGGGCTCGAGCTGCACCGGCTTCAGAACATCGCATCTTCTGAGCAGCGCACACTCTGTCGCGGGACCACACCCATCGTGCGTATTTAGATCCCAGTCCAAGCTCAGAGAGCGTGCTCGGCACCCACTTCACTCTCGACGTGCGGGAACATTGTGTCGAGAGCAAGAGGGGTTTGGGGGGTGGAGCTGTTCACCGCCGTGCTCATGTCCTTTCCTTCAGGCCAAGCCTTCATGCACCTCTGTCCCCACCACCACACTCCCCAGGCGCCCTGCGTATCTCCTCCCTGGACGCTGCGCAGGGCTTTGACTTCGAGTCCCGCACCGCCCAGAACCTGGAGGAGGCGTCCACAATGTTCGTGGGCATCCTCGGCTTCGGCACCTTTGGCCAGTTCCTGGCCGCCAGGCTGGTCAAGGCGGGGCACCGCGTGATCGCCACGTCGCGCAGGGACTACACCAGGGAAGCGGCGGCCATGGGGGTGGAATTCTTCGCCGACGTGGATGACTTTTGCGAGGAGCACCCCGAGGTGGTCATCCTCTCCACCGCCATCCTGTCCCTGGAGAAGGTGGGCCATTGGGTTGGGGGGGGGGGTTGCGTTGTGGGGGGTTTGAAAGGGGCTCATTGCATGCTGTTGGAGGAGGTGGAGGGTTGGGTACTCGTTCTTAGCTGACTGGTTCCAGGATGCGTCACGTCTGGACATTCCTCCCCTGCTGTCTCTTGTCATGCTACCTGGGCAACGAGGTTGCCTGGGAGTGCAAACAAGCAGCCCCTGCAGCACCCTCAAAAGCCAGGCAGACCCCCCGACCGCCCTTCCCCCGACCCTCACCGCCCCCAAAGGTGCTGGCCGCGCTCCCCGTCCAGCGCCTCAAGCGCTCCACACTCTTCGTGGACGTGCTGAGCGTCAAGGAGTTCCCCAAGCAGGCCATGCTGCGCATGCTGCCCGCCGACGCCGACATCCTGTGCACGCACCCCATGTTCGGCCCCGACTCCGGACAGGGCTCCTGGTCGGGCCTCAACTTCATGTACGAGGTGGCGCGCCTGGTGCCGGGGGACGCCGCCCGCCAGCAGCGCATGCAGAACTTCATACGGGTGAGGAGAGGTCTTGGAAAGGGGTAATACAATTGGGGCCTTGCACCGGAGGAGGGAGCCAGGGCTCAGCGTTCGTGGGCATGCTGCCCTTCAATGACTGCGTGCCATTTCTGATGCCCGCCCGTCGAACGCTGAGCCTGGTGCCACAGCGGCTCTGCCGACGATCACATGCCAAGCCACCCGCCGCCCCACAGTTCTTCGCGCGGGAGGGCTGCACGATGGTGGAGCTGGGTTGCGAGGAGCATGACAGGCAGGCGGCCTCCACCCAGTTCATCACCCACACCGTTGGCCGCATGCTGGGCGAGATGAAGGTGTGGTGTGGAGGAGGAGGGGCAGGACCTGGGGTGGGACTGTGCTCGTGCTGTGCAGGGCTGATGTGCGCGGGATGATGTGCCGTGTGCTGGGACCCCTTGACGCAGATCGTGGACGAGCTGCCTCCCCCCCGCTTCCCGTGCTCGCAGTTGGAACCGACGCCCATCGACACCCGGGGGTTTCAGTCGCTCCTCAGCCTGGTGGGCAACACCAACAACGATTCCTTTGATCTCTACTACGGCCTTTTCATGTACAACCCGGTGAGTGGCTGCAGCTTGAGTCGGGGACCGCGATGCAGGGCAACAAGGCCCTGCTGTGGCACGACCCACCCGCTCACAACTGGCCCTGGTGGGACCTCGATGGGAGGTGCCCCCTGATCAAGCCTGGTCCTGTCTGGGTTCTTTGAACTGGGCCCCCACAAGCGTGCACATTTGCGGCACCCTGGGCCCCACCACCCCCCTATTCCTTTCCCATGCCCCCTCTGTAGAATGCGACGCAAGAGCTGGAGCGCCTGGAGCACGCCTTTGACAGCGTGAAGCGGCAGCTGTTCAGGCGGCTGCACGCCAAGCTGCGGGACCAGCTCTTCCCCTCCCCCTCCGCGCCCCGCCCAGAGGGGACGTTCCTGGAAGCCCCTGCCGCACCGCCTGCGGCCCCGGCCCTGGAGCCGGGAATTGGAGTGCTGCCGAGAGGCAGCCAGCGAGAGGCTGAGCTCGTCAGCTCTCGGAGCAGGAAACGAGCCAGCCTGGAGAATGGGTCGTGAGCCAGGGGAGGAGCTCGTTACTTGCATTGGATGCCGATGCGCTTGGCGCGGCGCAAACCAATCGACTGGGCCCCGCCCCTGCCTTGATTGCCCCTCATTGTGCGGGCTGAGTAAGACATGTGCTAGAGCGATGCCTCCCTGGCGGTTTGGTGATGGTGTTGACATGTGTTGGAAGCATGTGTCCCTCACAGCAGGCACACGGAGCCCTCCGCCAGGAGTGGCTGCAGCGGCTGGTACCGGATGACAAACACGTCGTCCTTGTTGAATTGGGCTGTGTTCCTGTAAGGCAGGGGTCGTTGTTGAGAAAGATCTGAATGAGGTCGTTGAGCTGCATGCCTGATGCTCGGGCGGGTAGGACCCATGGGAGGGAGAGCATGGGCGGACTGCTCCTGCTGGGGAATGGCTTCCTTCCTCCCCCTGCCCCCTCACTACCCCTGTACAACGCACCCGGCGTCGTCCACCGGCACTTGACCTCTGTCCTCCAGCACACGGCAAAAGACATGCTTGTCCAGGTCGGGGCGCGGCACCATGTCCTTCTCCGGGTGGGCCGCCGCCTGGCGCACCAGCGAGGAGAAGGCTTCGGGGAGCTGCCGCCCCACTGCCATCTTGAGGTGGGTGCCCTGCAGCATGAAGAACTCCTGGGCATGGGCGTCCTCCCGGTCCGACAGCCGCTCCTTGACCTCCGCGGTGTCCAAGATGTGCATGGCATACTCCTCGATCTTGTGCAGCCGCACCCGGTAGTAGCAGCGGAGCAGGTACCGTACCTGCAGACGGGGAATGGGGAGGAAAAGGTGGAGGGGGATCCTTGAGGTGGCAGGAGCTTCGAGATTTCTTGAGTGGGCTGGGATTGGCAGGCAGGGGCATTCCAAGTAGAAGAAGGGGATCTCTGTCTGCAAGCGCGGCCCAAGCAGGGTGGAACCATGCGCTGGCTGAGCCGGAGACGCGAGAAAGAGGAGGCAGGTGCCATGCGTGGGCCAAGCCATTAGAACTACAGACTGCCTTGCCATGCGATGATGCGCTCTCGAAGCCTTGGCTATAATTTAGTCTGCATCCACCAACTCTACCCACCCCATACACACCCTGGCGAGCTCTGTCGTGAATATGGTCCGCAAGAGCTCTAGGTCCTGGTTGCCTCGCATGAGCTCGATCTGCTCTTCCTGTGACATCGGATGGGGAAGTAAGAAGGCTGGGTCATCGGTTTTGGAGGGGCTGCTGCTCTACGACTGGCAAATGATGACGTGGCCAGCCCCTCCTCCCGACGGACTTGGTAGTCGATTTGGGCCTCGATGCGCGACACAAGGTCTTCCTGGAACATTAGGATCTCGGGAGAAGACTTCTCGTTGATGAGTGCGATCTTGAGGGCTTCCTGATCGCTTCGACCCGAGGTCCCAGGTGTGGCTTCCGGGAAGGCATCCATTTCCGTGGGAACAGAGCAGCGCCCCCTTTCCTTTTTATAATGTGTAAGACTAGCTTTGTTATCAGGGTGTGTGCACTAGTTTTGCACTGGCCTGTGGGGAGAGCTTGCACCTGATGATCAAGCAGTTGAATTTTGTCGCGCAGGCGCGCTGGCGCCTTGCTGCCCCCCTTCGGAGTTTCCTGGCAACTCAACGTGAGCGTTGATCATGTAGTGCATTTCCCATGTGCGCATGCTCGGAATTTTCAAAGCACTCTCCAGGTCCCATTTCCGTCGATGATCGAGCATGTCACCATGAAATCGGATCTTTACATCCGCAGGGATCGGTGTGCACTTGGCCGTTCTGTTTGCCAGGTTACTTGCAGCACCAATCCCATGCACGGCATGTAAGTCCTGAAACTCCATTGCCATAGCATTGAATGAATCCTAGACACACACGAACGCCTCCCTCACAGCGTCCTTTCTCCGACCTGTCACCTTGAGTTGTGCCTTGGTACCCTGTGTGGACCCTCTCCTGCCTGACATTGATGTTACTACACGCTGTACCCCCCCAGCACAATTCATCAGCGGCTGAGTGCATTCAAGCCGTACATGACGCTGGGGAGGGTGACTGCATCCCGGACCACGCCCAGGCCTGCGGGCCCCTGCTTCTTCATCAACTCCAGGAAGCGCGAATACTGCATGAGCAGCTGGGTGAACACCGCTTGCAGCACGCCGCGGGCGGCATGCGTGGACCCAAAGTCTTGCGTCACCTCCCTGAGCAGGTGGTAGGTGGGTGCGTGGGAATAGGTTTATGGAGGGAGTGAAGTGCACGAACAGTGCGAGAATTCTGGAATTTGGCAGGGTGGGCCAGGCAAGACAGTACCCACCCAACCCCTGTCGTGCTCTGAATGCAATGGTGTCTCATACTATACCAGCATGCTCCTCGCCGCTTCCCTGCCACGCACCCCCACACCTGCACATGGCCTCTGCCTTCTGCTTCCAGCTCCCGGCAAAAGCCTGGGCCAGGGGTGCTGCCTCCGGCGGCCCACAACCAGGCAGTGCCTGCCCCTCCGGCAGGCCCGACGCCAGGGCCTCGCCGCGTCGCACGAATGCAATCTGTGAGTCAGGATCAGGACACACAGGGGGGTCTTGTAACGAGAATGCCATTGGGGAAGGTGTAGATGGTAACCACACAGCAGAGCAGGCATGCGAGCTAAAGCGTGTCATGCCTTGCCGCGCCCTCGGCGCAATTCCGCGCATGGCCAAGCGCAGTTGGCCCCGAGCTCCCAGGGTTTAAAACCCTGGTGGGTCTGAGCCAAGAGGCCCCTCCACCCAGCAGATCAGCCATCATCCCACAGGTGTGCAACCCCCCTTCCCCTCCACCTCGGTTTTGAGGCTCTACTCACCAGCTCAGGCAGCGCCCCGCCCAGCATGTCGTCCACGTAGATGCTGGTGCAGCGGTGCAGCCCCTCCTCAATCTCCTTGAGCAGGGCCGCGCCCGAGGCCCCCAGCCCCTGGCTTGCGTCCACTGCCCCGTGGCTGCTGCTGGTCCGGTGCAGGGCAGGGTTGGCCCCTGCGCCTCCCTGGCCGCCGCCCGACGCAGCCTGACTCATGGCCTGCTGCGACAGGGATCCCGTGCGGGGCAGGCCCCGGGCCGCGGTGCCACGCAGCACGCCGACAATGTGCCCAAAGTTCAGGATGAGGAAGACGGTGCCGGCGCGCTTGCTGGGCAGCAAGCGGCTCAGGCTCAGCAGGGCGTTCATCACTGAAGGGGGGGAAAGTATGGGGGGGACATGGGCCGTTGGAGGAAAGGGTGAGTGAAGTGAGGTGAGATGGGGTTGGGGTCAAGGTCCATCTTGGGGTTTTGGGGGATGGGGTGAGTGACACAGCAGCCTTCTCATACCTTAACAGCTGAGAGACCACCACATGCATGTGCTCTGCTGCCCCTGGCCGCCAGATCCGTCCCTGGCTGCTTCCCCTCCCCGAGCTGACAGCCGGCGGATGGCAGACAAGTACCTGACCCCTTACCTGCGTATCGCAGGCGCTCCGTGTTGCTTTCCAGGGGCTCCTCGGGCAGGTCCGCTTGGAGCAGGAGCAGGGCCGAGGTGAGGGCAGCATACCGCTCTGTGCCATCGTTATCCGGGTGGGGAAAGGAGTGTACGGTGAGCTGCCAGGAGGGGGCGCTGGATGCGTATTCAAACACCCAAGGACCCCTTTTTGACAGGGAGGCTGCACTTGTGGCTGCAGAGGATCATACTGCTCAAAAGGCCTTCTCGCTGCACGGCCCTCCAGGCCCCACCTGCCAGCAGGTGGACGGCGGGGATGGGGACGGCAGTGGACCCCGGGTCGACTGGCATCGCCTTGACCGACGCCAGTTGGGCGTCCATGAGCACCTAAAGGGATGTGCGGTGGGGGGGGGTGGGAGGGTTAGGGGGGGAGGGATGACTGAGTCACCGTTTGCATGCTCATCTGCATGGGTCAGCTGTCGCAGCCCGCGCATGTGATGCCCCAGGTCCTGATTGACATTCTGGCCCATCCGTCGTTGACACCGCCAGTCGCCTGCGACCCATGAGTTCCAGCACATGCCCACTCCCAGGTCCCCTGCCCTGCCCCGAGGATTGCCCCCTCCCCATCCCACATCCTCCAACCTCCCTGCCCCAACCCCACCCCCCTCCCCACTCCACCCCGCCCCGACAACCCCAACACCTTGAGGCGGGGCCAGAGCAGCAGGTTGATGCGGTCGTAGAAGCCGTCCAGGGCGGGGTTTCCGCGCCGCGCCATGGCAAGCCCGCACTCCCGGTTCAGGCGCACCATGAGGAGCAGGGCGATGGGGTCATGCAGCTCGGCCAGGGCCGCCGCCAGCGAGGACTCCACGAAGGCCAGGACGGGGGCGAAGAGCGCTGCGTACACGCCCGCATCGCCCCAGAACTCGGCGCAGAATAGGTACTCGTGCGCCGCGGTGTCCATCAGCAGCTTGTTCACGGAGCGGAAGAGGACCTCGTAAGGGAAGCGCGCGCCGCGCGCCTCCGCCGCGTGCAGCACTAGGGGCGGGCCCTCCACGTGGCTCAGCACCAGCGCGCGATCCTGTAGCGAGAAGGCGTCGGCGCGGCCGCCGGCCGAGGCCGCAGCGGCGGGGGCGGGGGCGGGGCGCTGGAAGAAGGACAGCACGCCGCCGGAGGACGGGGCCTCGGCCGCGCCCAGCGTGTCGGCCTCCGTCAGCACCTTCTCCTGTGGTGGTTGTGATGTTGAATGAGAGGGAAGGGAGGCTTGGAAGGGCTGAGGATGAGGTCTGGGCAGGTCACACGGCGGCGCTGGGTGCACGGAGGGGCGCGCAGGGGGGGTTGGGGAAGCAGTGGGGTGCGGCGCGCCGGCCGCCTGCATCCCCCACTCCGGGGCAGATGCAGCAGGCAATTATACCCACACACCGCCCCACCTCCAGCCGGTCGATGACCGCCCAGTAGTTGCGGAAGAGGTCCAGGACCTTGGCGGAGACCTTGTCGATGTAGGCGGCCCGGACCTGGGGAGAGTGGGCGGTGGCACATAAATTTGGGCCTCGACGACGACGACAGCACTTTCTCAGTCGAAGATGAGGATGGGAAACGGGCATGCTATAAGCCCGCCTCCCATGCATCCCTCCTGCTGGAAACACACCTCGCCAAAGATGTCTGGGGCATGCTCGCCCAGGAAGGCGACCAGGGACTTGTGTCGCAGCAGCACCGGCTGCTTGATCTGCCATGCAGGGGGAGGTGGGGTGGGGTTCGTCGATGGCAAGGGGGCAGCCACCCTGCATTGTTGCGGCAATCGGCCATGGCGCCCCTTCATCGCAGCAGGATGCACCACCCCTGCACCTGGACGTTGGTGCGGGGACGCCGGAAGTCCCAGATCTTGGCGAACAAAAAGTCCCTGCTCTTCACGACTGCCTTGATCCTGAGCTTCTCCAGCTCTGGCGCCACATCTCTGTCAAGCCGCAGTGGGGAAGGGGGGGATTCTGGAGCAAAACAGCAGGCTAGCACACAATTCATGGATGCTAGACCCTTCAGTTTTGCACCTGACCGCCACCTCAACCTCCCAACACCAACTGACCGTGACTCCATTGCACAAAAACCAAAAGCTCACCTGAGAGCCACTGTCCCCTGGAGGTCCGGGTCCCGAGCTGCAGAGGCCAGCTTCCGGCCCAGGGTTTGCAGGGCGCTCAGGAACTCCTCGCTCTGTACATCCGACTGGACGATGCCATGGATGAGGTCCGGCGTCAGGCTCACTCGACCCACAAAGTCCTCCAGAGACTCCTGCAAGTGTGCGGAGGTGGGCCAAGGGGGGGGGGCGTGCAGTCTGCCTGCTGAGAGGACTGGTGCACTGCAAAAGCTGCAATGCCGGGGCGACTCATGGAGCTGGGCCATCACCCGCCTCCCTGCACGCCCCAGGAGTCCAGGCTTCACCTTGAGCGCCCTGCGGTCGCGCAGCTTGGCATTCATGCTCTGGCTCTCGGCCTGCAAGGCCCGGATCTCGCTGGAGATGCTCCCCAGGTCGGTCTGAAAGTGCGCCAGCGTGGCCTCCACGCCCTGGAGGATGTCGTCGCACTCCTTGATCTGCAGGTGTGTCGGCGCATGAGCGCGGCGCGTGTCACCTGCCTGGCGTGAGCCCAGCCTGGGGAATACACATCAGCCTGACTCTGATGTGCATGCAGAGCTGGAACCTCTCGCAGCGTCCTGTGCACACGTTGACTTGCTGCATGTGCCGTGCACACATTCCGACACGCCGTAGATTGTAGTGTGAGGATGTCACCTGGCGCATAGCCTCACACAGCATGATCACCAGATCCCCTCTCCTCACGTCTGTGTGAAGGGCGATGAGGGTGTCTGCCTCCGCGATGTAGTCCTCGATGGAGGCCAGCTCAGCTTGACGGAGCTCGTCCTCGTACCTGCGCCCATACTCGCGAGGGTCCAGCCCTGATGGCAGGCCATGGGGAGGGTGGGTGTGAGACGAGCCCTGAGCATGAAAAGACACCTGCAAAAGCCTGGCGGGTGCAGCCGAGCACTCGCACAGGTTTGCACTCCGGGACATATACCTTGATCCAGGATAGCTTTGAGTACTTCGTGGTCGGCTAGAGCTTCTACATCCTTTTCTATCCCCGCCAGGCTCAGGTGCTCGGTGGTGAGATCAAGTTCGCCCAGCCCCAGAGACAGGTCTTCCCCATTTTCAGCGCCGTAGCCTGCTGGAATACTGGAAGGCTCATTCATTGGATCCACGCCTGCCTGCACTGCCGTCTGCACCATCTTCCGCGAGAGACGGGGCGGTCGTCAGTCACGCCATCCCCCGGTTGACAGGGATTCAACTTCTCATTCCTAATCGGTCCCCCACACAGTGTGATCGGCAATGCTACAGAATATAGGGAGCGATCATTTTTAACGCGCTAGTTGCATCCACTGTCTCGTTCTGATTCTGATAGTGGTGTCGAGCGCGCGAGGTGTAGGGACTACACCCAACAGGAGCTGGGTTGGTGATGTAGATGTCGGGGTTTCTGCATATTCAGAATCCAGACTGATTTGTTCATCCTTAGACAATGAAGCTCGCAAACTTTGTTTTCACAAATGCCGGCATGTACTATACACCTTTTGAGTGAGGGGCTACTCAGAAACTTTCATGCCTAGAATACAAACAACGTGATTCTTCTGAACCATTACGGGATCTATTTCCCTAAGCAAAACAGATCCCATGTGGCGTTCCGGCAAATCAATTTCGTGAGCCCATTTTTCCTTTCGCGCACCTTCGATTTCCCCTAAATTTTTGTATATATATATATCGTGTCAAAGTCCAACCGAGATTTATAGCTAATATATATTCCTGCGGTGACCGATACCATGGCGGCATCATTCCCAACAGCAGTGCACCAGAGGCACAATGTGGCTCCAGGATCCCGGTCTCGGATACCAGGTATCACTTCCGCCAGCAATGCCAAAAGTGGACTGGCGCGCCGTGGCGAGCAGCCCCTGCATGTGAAGCAGCAGCGGGCCACCCAGCAGCGGTTGCATGCGGGACGACAAGCCGGCGGTGTTCTCGAACGTGAGTTTCGTTGGGAAACTGGCCCCGCAGATATTCTTGCGAGCGTGAATCTTATATTGAGAATCGGTCGAACCCGGGTGGGGTACCCCACCCGGTGGTGAGGCACGAATGCACGGGTGTGTCGACTGACATTTATTCCGGAATCTCCTGCAGGATCTGTCGCACCCACCGAGGCTCCCGACACGCAGCTGCGCCCCGTGCTCACCGCTGCCGCATGGACCGCGGCGGACATGCGTGCCAGGGAGCACGAGTGGACCTACCACCTGACCCCCAATGACATCCAGGAGCTGGATGAGGCTCTGGTTCTCGCCAGGGCGACGGGGAAGCCCATCCATGAGCTCACCCAGGAGGACTTTCCCCTGCCCTTGCTGGCACCCAAGCTCAGGGCCTTGGGCTCCGAGGTGGTCCACGGCCGCGGGTTCCAAATCATCAAAGGTAATGCAGAAGGGGATTGGGGGCATGAAGGAGTGGGTCAGGCTTCAGAGCTGCTCCCAGGGGTGATACTGATGTCCGCAACCAGTGCCCCTCGTCCAGTTTATGACTCCCCCCCCCCCCCCTCCGCTATACCAATTCCCCCTATGACAGGCGTCCCTGTGGAGCGCTGGAGCCGGGAAGAGAGCGTGACGGCGTACTGGGGCATGGGTCTGCGCTGGGGCCGCGCCGTGTCCAACAATGCCGCGGGGCACCTGGTGGGGCACATCAAGGACATTGGGCACGACCCGCTGGACCCCAGCACGCGCCTGTTCGCGACGCGCGCGGCGCAGCCCTTCCACAACGACGCGGCGGACGTGGTGGGCCTGCTGTGCCTGACCCTGGGAGAGTCCGGGGGGCTCAGCTCCTGGACCAGCTCCGTGTCGGTGTACAACGCGGTGCTGGCCGCCCGCCCCGACCTGGCGCGCCTGCTGACCCAGCCCTGGGTCTGGGACCGCAAGGGCGAGGTCCCGCCCGGCAAGCCGCCCACCTTTGCCATGCCCGTGTTCAACCACCATGCGGGCCACCTGTCGGTGAACTGGAGCAGCAACTACTTCCTCGCCGCGCAGCGCCACCCGGGCGTGCCGGCCCTGACCCCCGCACACCTCGAGGCCATCGCGCTGGTGGACGCACTGGCCGCCAGCGACGCGCTGCGCCTGGACGCCATGCTGGCGCCGGGGGACGTGCAGTTGCTGAGCAACCACACCGTGTTCCACGCGCGCAGCGCCTTCACCGACTCGCCGGAGCGCAAGCGCCACCTGCTGCGCCTCTGGCTGGCGCCGGAGGACGACCGGCCCCTGCCCGAGGCCTACAGGGAGATCCTGGGCGGGTCGGTGGAGGTGGGTCGGCGTGGCGGCATTGTGGTGGAGGGGACCAGACTCCACGTCCCCCTGGAAGCCGCATGATGGTACGGCGACTGCGATACAGAGGGGGAGCGCTGCGCTCCAGGACTTGGCGATCGAGGTCGGGCATGGGAGCGTGGGTGGACCGAGACAACTGCCAACACCCACAGCAATCCCGGCTAGCTGCACCCCCTCCCCACTCCTCTCTCCAACCCTTGCCCTTGTTCATTCTTCACAGCACACTCTTGCCACCATCCCACATACTCACCCTTCTCTTCACACTTGAGGGAGCGAGTAGGTTTTCACCCCTTCCGTGATGCTGGTCCTGGAATTGCTGTGCATTGCAGTACCCCATTCTTTGGTTGCCCCCCCCCCCCGGAGTTGTTGCATGTAGATGGTTTGCGAGACCGTCCAACCATGAATAAGAAGGAGTGGGCGCTGGGTGCTGTACTAAAGACAGAGATGGCAACGATGGTCACTGCGAATTAGCTTGTGCTCTTCCTGGCGACGTGACCATTGATGGTTTAAGAATTCAGCTCACCAGCGAAGCGCTGTCTGTGCTGATCAACTTCCAGACCAGGCGCATGCATTGCTGTCGCTACCAGTGCGCACGTCGATGCCATCTTGGCACCTGCGAGACTTGAGTGTACCCAGACATCCCCATCAATGGAATACTTTAACTTCACGACGTAAATAGCAGCAAGGAATGTTGGATCTTGGATAGGCTTCCCTAAAACCACAAAGGAGGTCGAGGATGGGGGAGCCAAGCACCCAGCTTGACTAGATGCGCACCAGCTACCGAAGCGTACGCCAATCGTGCTCCAGGCCGAGCTGCCCCGGCTGGGGCTGGCGAGCCCCTGGTAGGACTACCCGCATGGGGCTGGACGGGTCACGAAGGTCGAGCGATGGGTGTGACATGCGAGCTCACGCGGTGCGAGCGAGGCGCGGAGGGAGCGCGGCGAGGACAGCGAGTGCGCAAGTCGGCCCTCCGTGCTGCCCAAGCCCCCACCTGCTGAAGAGCATGCGATGACGGAAACAGCAGGCTGCGAGTGGAAAGGGCGATCTTGTACCATGGCAGACGATGGACGCGCGCCGGAGCCGGTCCCCGGGAAGATGCTGGGCGAACCACGTACGTCCCCTGCGTGCCGCACGCTGGCTGTGTGTGGGGCGCACGCCATGGGTCAGCAAACCTAGACATACCATCCAAGCGCCCCGAACCGCCAACAAATGCATCACAGGGAGACGAAAACGAAGTAGGACAAAGAAGCGAGCGCCCCCGGCATCGAACAGAGCTGCAAAGTGCGTCGGACAGGGCGCCGAGTGGAACCCCGACATGACGGCCATCGCCTCCCCATGGGCTCATTCCAGCCCCTCCTACTCCCTCTTTGGCGGCTCCGGCTTTCTCTCCGATGACGATCTGCACTCCCAACATGTATGCGGGCGAGGAGGGACGCGATGCGGGCAACATTGGATGGATCGGGCGCCGGAGGGACACGTTTCATCGTGGGCCACCCCACCGGAGGGGTCCCCCCATGCTGCGCCATGCTGAGCGCTTGGTTCCTCGGACAAACGTCCCTCCCTCCTCCTCACTCCTTCCCCCATTCTCAATCCACAGGATTCCGTGCTGACGGTGTCTGGCTCCGCCTCGCCCACCACCTCGCCCAAGGAGGCAGTGGCCGCCCCCCACCCCTTCACCCCCGCCGCCCTGCGCCAGTGCGCCAAGCAGGTGAACATGCGGCTCATGCACGCGCACTCCCCCGCCGACATCTTCTGCATCGTGGCCGATGGCCTGGAGTTCTTCGACAGCATCAACCTCACCGCCGCCTTCCAGCGCCTGGCCAAGTTCCTGGCCGCGCACCCGCGCGAGCGCCCGGCCGTCCTTTCCTCCCCCGTCTTCCACTCCCTGGCGGGCATGATGGTGGAACAGTGCCACACAGGGGCCTTCAACCCCCAGTCCACCAGCAACGCCTGGTGGGCGGTGAGCAAGCTCTTCGGCGGCGACGCCCCGGCCCCGCCCGCCCTGCTGACCGCTCTCGAGGCGGCGCTGGGCGCCTGCCTGGCCTCTGGCGCCGAATCCGCCCGACCCAACGCCCAAGCGGTGTCCAGCACCTGGTACGCCTGGGGGCGTATGGGCGCCTACCTGCCCGGCACCCGCGTGCGCGACGCACTCTGGGACCGCACCTACGCCCTCGCCCTCAACTTTGACTCCCAGGGTGGGTGGAGGGTCTGGGTGGGGGGATGGTCTGGTGGCTGGAGGGGGGATGGGGAAAGAGCACCTCCTGGCAACTGGCCCTGTGGCGGGGGGCCAGGGATGTGCAGTGGCCCATTCAGGCATGCTGGACCTCCTTGCCACCTGCCCCCGCCAGTCATCAAATGATGTCATCCTCTCACCTGATCCCCCGCCCCACCTCCCAACCCCCCAGGCGTGGCCAACATGGTGTGGTCGTGGGGCCAGCTGCGGCGCCGCCACGGCGACGCCTTCCCCGTGCGCACCGACGTCCTGGCCGGACTGACCCTGCTGGTGTCGCGCATGCCCGGCGCCTTTGCGGTGCAGGGCCTATCCTGCACCGCCATGGGCTGCGCCAACCTGGGCGCCACGCTGCGCGCCGCGGCGCTGCCGCTGGTACGCGTGCTCGTGCGCGAGGCCGGGGCCCGCGCCCCGGCCTTCAACCTGCAGGCCATGGCCAACACCGCCTCGGCCCTGGCGCGCATGGGCGGCGAGGCCGCGCGCGACGCCGCCGCGCTGGACATGCTGGCCGCCTTCGACGCGCGCGCGGCTCGCCTCGCCGGCCCACACAAGCCCGCCGAGCTGGCGGCGCTGGCGGGGGCCATGCAGCGCTGCGGCCTCGAGCCACGCGCGCCCTGCCTCGTCGGCGCGCTCGAGCGCGAGCGGCCCGCGGTCGGCCCGGCGGAGCGCGGCGGCCGGTGGTCGCCGGCGCTCGGGGGCCGGGGCTCGGTCGCGCCCCCGCAGCGCCGCGACGGCGCCGGCGGCTGGCAGGCCAGGGACGGGCACTTCTGTCGAGCGACGGGCCTCCAGCGCGCCGCCTGCGACGCGCTGGTCGCGGGCGAGCGCCACGCGCCCGGGCCCTCGCCGCCTGGGGCCGCGGGCTGGCCTCAGCCGCAGGCCTGGGGGGAAGGAGCCGCTGCCTCCAAGGAAGTCCATGCCTGGACGAGCACCTTCAACCCCACCAGCGCCTTCTCTTCCAGGCCCTGGTCACCCCCCTGCCCCTCTGCCAGCGAGTGGGCGTACGGGTCCGCGGACCCGTCCATCGGCATGTGGGCCCCGGGGCCGAGCTCCCGAGGGTCGAGCAGGCAGGGGTCGCCCACCAGGGTCCAGGACGCCACCAATGCGGTGGCCTGGCGCGGCATGGGCGGGGCACTGGGCGACCTGGACCTCGATTCCTGGTCGAGCGCTGTGTGGAGCCCCGCCGGCGCCGAGAGCGGCGGCCCGCCGGCGCTGAGGAGCGAGGCCGCCGAGTTCACCGCGGCGGGGCTCTTCCTCACCAACCGCCCCGCCCAGCTCCGCGTGCGCTGATGAGCGCTCTGCCTGTCCATTGGCGCCCAGTGCTCGGACCGCAGGCCGACGAGCGCGTTCATAGGAGCCCGGCGAGTCCCGCTTCGATCCTTTCACGCGCATGCTCGCGCAAATGTGCACCCACCGACCCAGCCTGCCGGCCCCCTGTTCTTCCCCCCACTCATAATTTTCATGGCCTGCCATGTATCTGTGATGCCTCCGCTCTGTCTCTATACCACCCCCCCTCCCAGCAGAATCTATCGCCGGTCCACCCTTGGATTTGAAGCGGAGGCCTCTTTGGGCCTCCAGTATTCCCTCTTGCCTCCTGTCTGTAACAGGCAACGACCTATCACGAGTGCAAGGAGGACATCCATGGTGCTGGCGCAGTAGCTGTCATACAATTCGTCACAGATGCCACGACCCCACCAGGCTGTTGAACACCTTCTGCCTTGACAAGGTCTGGCCGGTCGAGGGACGAGGAGGCCGGCTGGGCAATCCATGGTCATTGACGTGGAGGTGCACCACTTACCATACCATCCCTCTATCCTCCAAGGAATGCATTTGAGTTGCCACTCTACCGAACCAGACAGGTGCACACTCTGTCCATGGACCAAGCCCGCTGCTGCCCTCTCCGACAGTGAAATGGTGCCAATTACAAGGCTGAATATGAGCCTGATATGCAGTGAAAGTCCAGCATCATGGTATCCGGGGAGGGGGCATCGCCAGCGTGGCCCCCAGACGCTCGTCACCCCAGGGACTGGGAGTGCATGCATTGAATGTGCGGTGACAGGGGTTCAGAAAAAGGGGCAATGAAGGCACACGGGAGAGGGGGGGACTCGACAAAGGTACAGGGGTGCCCTGCGTTGTCACGATGGTGCCTGTCGGTGGGGACAGCCCTAAATAAAAATCACAATGCAAACTGGCATGTAGTAGGGAGATTCGGGCGGGGGAGGGGAGGTGCGCCCTGCTCCCACTGCGCACCTCTCCTCTCCCCCGCCGGCCTGTAGGTACGGCGTCGACGCTCGAGTCGTACGGTGGTGTTTGTGAGCTGCGGCGGGGGGACCTGCCCCGGCCGCCAGGCCTTCGGACAGTGGTCGGGGTCACACGCGTCGCTGGCAGCCGTGTCCTCGCGGCGTCGCGGGTCGGCGGTGGGCCCGCGCTCCCTCCCACGAGCATCGGGTGTGGCCGTCAGTCCCCGCCCTCGGCGCAAACTGTGTGCACGGTGTGGCCCTCGCCCCGGGGGCCCAAGGCGGCCCCCTCCAGGGTCCAGGGGGAGCCGGCCCCCAGCAGGCGTGGCGAGTAGGCGGGGATGGAGAAGGCACGGGGCGCCATGCCCTGCAGGGCTTGGGGGCTGGCCGGCGCGCGGTCCAGCGCCCCCAGGCTCGCCGCCTTGGGGCCGGGGGACAGCGCGGCGCCCTTGTGCAGGCGGTCGGAGAGCCAGGAGACGGGGCTGTGCGGGGACCGCGGGGTCTGGGAGCGGGAGCCGCTCGGGCTGGGTGTCCTGCAATGCGGTGAGTGGTGGGGGGCCTGGGTGGGGTGGGGGCCGCTGTGGATGGGGGGGGAGCAGGGAGGAGTGCAGGGGGCCGGCGAGGGTGCCCAGGGTCGAAGCTCTTTCCGACGGCCATCGCGAGGCAGCAGGCTGGACCGAGCGCAGTGCACTGCCTCAGGCTGGGCAGCAGGATTCGCGCTCCAGGGGGGAGCCAGCCCTCCCCAACCACCCCTCCCTCCAGATCACCAGAGCACAGCGCACCATGGCCCACTCACTCAGGCCACGCACCGTTTGTCGGCGGCCGGGATGGGCAGCGGCGAGGAGGGCGGCGGCGCGGGCGCGGCCAGGCGCAGGTTCCGCGCCAGCAGCTGGTGGTCCTCGGCGCGGAGCGGGCGCCGGCGCGCGCGCGGCGTGCCATCCAGCGACTCGGCCTCGCGCTCCGAGGACGTCGTCGTCGTCGCCACGCGGGGGGGGAGGCACGACGGCGCGGGGTCCACGCTCGCGGGACCCGTGCCCGGAGGGTCTGTGCTGGCGGGGCCGACCACTCCCCCGCCCCCCTCCGCCACTGCGGCACCGACGCGCAGGCGCGCCCATGCGGCCGAACCCCCCGGCACACGCGCCGCCTCCTCGGCCAGCAACAGGTACGTGGCGGCGAGGGGCGAGGCCTCGCGCGCGCGCACCGCGCGCTCCACGGCGCATGGTTCCAGGCCAAAGGCCGCCCGCGCGACGCGCAGGACCTCGGGGTCCGGGGTCACTGCGCCCGTGGCTTCGTCGCCGGGGAGGCGCAGGAGGCGCGCAGCGCCGACGCCCGGCGGCGCCCAGCGCGGCCCGCGCGCGACCCAGGGGTGCGCGGCGCACTCGGCCAGGGTGGCGCGCGCGCCGGGGTCCACGGTGAGCATGCGGGACAGGAGGTCGCGCGCCTGCGGGTCCACCCAGGCGGGGAAGCGGAAGGCCCCCGCCACGATCTTGGCCGACAGCGCCTTCTTGTCCTTGCTGTGGAAGGGCAGGTACCCCGCCAGCATGGCGAACAGCACCACGCCCAGGGACCAGACGTCCACGGGGGGCGCGTCGTACTCCCGCCGCGCCACGATCTCCGGCGCCGCGTAGCTGGGCGACCCGCAGTGGCAGCGCAGGCGGCGGCCGGGGACGAAGAAGCCGCAGAGGCCAAAGTCGATGAGCTGGACGCCGCCGGCGCCGTCGAACAGAATGTTCTCCAGCTTCACGTCGCGATGAACGATGCCCGCGCCATGGCAGTGACCCAGCGCGGCCAGCAGCTGCTGGAAGACCAGCGCGGCCTCGCCGTCGCGCAGGCACTTGCGCTCCCGCACGTGGTCCAGCAGGGAACTGGGGAGTAGGGGGGGGGGGGGAGAGGTTTTGAGGAGCCAGGCGTGAAAGTGGGTGCAGGGATGGTGGTGCATGGACACACCCAGCACCTGACCCGCCTCAAAACCCTGGCCGAGGAAATGCCAAACAATGCTCAGCCCACCCGCCGGTGCAGTGCTCCATGACGACGTAGACGGCGTCGGCGGTCTCTGCGCTCTCTAGAACCCGCACGATGTTCACGTGGTTGTTCAGCGCGCGCATGACGCGCACCTCGCGCTCCACGCGCTCGCGGTCCGTGGCGTCGCGCAGGCGCGCCTTCTCGATGATCTTCACCGCCACCTGCGCGCCGGTGGCGGCATGCAGCGCGCGTCGCACGGTGCAGAAGCCGCCCTTCCCCGCCACGGGCCCCAGCACGTAGCCGGGCAGGAGGTTGGCGGCGTCCGGGAAGCCGAGCAGGGGGTCTGCCGCCGCCGCCTCAAACTCGGCGGGGACGGGGCCGGCCCAGGCGGGCGTGGGCACCGCGCAGCCGGCGGTGGCGGCGAGTCGCGCGGGTCCGGGCCCCGCGGCGGCCGGCAGCCCCGAGCCCGCCTCGCTGAAGGAGCCGCTGCAGGAGGCGGAGGAGGGGGTGGAGGGCGCCGAGGTGGGGCGGCCGGGCGCGGCGGGGCCGGGACGGGCTCCCGCCATGCACTGGCTGTTCTGGCGGTAGCCCACCAGCCGTCCCGCCTTGTTCAGGATCGGCAGGCGCGCCGGGCGACCCTGACACGGGGCCGCGCTGGTGCCTTCGCGCGCCTCGTAGGCTGCCGGGGCGCAGGCCTCGCCCCACGCGCCAGCACGGGCGCCGGGTGTGGGCCGGCTCGCTCCCGACGCCAGGTCGTCGGCGGCGAGGCTCATTGTCTCCAGCCCAGACGGCGTCCCGCTGCTGGGGCACTCGTTGGTCGCGCCCAGGGAAGCCGAGTGCGGCCAGCCCAGGTGGGAGCCGGGCGGCGGGGCGCGGATGGGGGACAGCCGCCGCCCAATCAGCTGAGTGTCTGCGGGGTGGCGAAGATGGATGGGGGGGCGGGCGCTGAGTGAGTGGTGCGAGCGACACCAGGGTTGGCGGGTGGGTGAGACTCTCCCTTGGCAGCAAAAACATGCAGACGGCAAGCAGTGAAGTAAATTTGTGCTTGCTGGTAAAATGTGATGCCTACACTCCATCCCAGGAGCGTGTTGGAGATGCTCAGGTGGGACTTGGCAGCCAACAGGTTGGCACGACCAAAGGTCCTTCATTTCACCCTCCTTCACAAGAAACCAGGTTGCCATGGACCCTTCACACATGGGACTCACCAAGGATGCTGTTGCCGGCAGCCCCAGCCGAGGTCACGCTGCTCTGCCAGCCAATGCTGGCAGGGCCCAGGGGACTGTGTGGGCGGGTGATCGCCTCGCCCATGCCGGAGGACACGGTGGAGGGCGGGTGGAACCTCTTGGCAGAGTCGTCGGCCTGGTGGATGCCGGACTGGCCGGCGGGCGCCGGGCCGCACCCGCCAGGGTAGATCCCGGCCGTCCTGCGTGCTGGCAGCCAGGACCTGGTGACGCCGGGCTCATGCCTGCCCACCACGTCGTTTGGCCAGTCCATGGACCAGTAGGAGCCGGGTATCGCCTCGCATGCCATGGGCGAGCTTGGCATGACGGTGGAGACGCCTGCAGCACAGGAGGGTGAAGAGGGTGAGTGTGTGGATTGGGTGGGGGGGAGGGAGGGGCTGGAGAGGGAGGGGTAAGCTGGCGAGAATGCCCCTCCTGAACCCGGTCCATGCAGCGGAAAATTGATATTCAGGTTGATGCAAGAATTAAACTGCATCGCCCACCAATGGAGAGGGTCGAAGAGGGGTGGATCAGGGGTCGACGACGGGCCTAGTGGGCGGGTGCCCAACCGTGGCTGGCAACGCCGCGGTGTCAGGAAGCAGGGTGCAGGAAAGGTGTAGCGCCGAAGGCAGGGGGTTTTGATAGGGAAATATACTGGAGAGCAGGGAACGGTGCACCTCATGGACACGGGCGCGTCATGGGAACGCACCCAAGCCCAGCTCCGTGCCCCGTCCAAGAAACACCCGAGGACACGAGGGGACCAGATTTCTGGGAGATTGCGGTGGACGTCCACAGATGCAAATAGTCAGGATCGATGGCGGAAAGAAGAGCCTCGAATTGAAGGACTCGGGGTCCATGGGATCGGGAGTGGGCAGTTGGGACGTGTTGTCGCCGGCAACCGCGTTGGGTTCGCAGGTGGGGAGAACGCGATGCGGGGCCCGGCGCGGTCCGAACAAGATCCCAACCACCACCAGACCAGTGGGACCGAAATGCCACACAGGCTCGACCCGACACGCATCTCAGCCTCAAAAAAGGATCAGAAATAAGTTGCCATCCAAAAGATGTCGCTTTCTCACCTCCACTGTCGTGCCTGATCATGGCGTTGTCAACCGAATGTCGACGGATCGGGTGACGGGGCGGCTCCGCCCCCTGACAGCCTGTACGACGCCCGGTAGATACAGGAATGGCTCCTCCTTCTATTTGCACGGTGAATATAGCGTCGATCAGGTGGTGCCGGGCATCGTGCCCATCCTGTCGCAACGAGCCTGCAGCTCAAAACCTCAAACGCCAGGGGGCCTTGTCGCACCGCAGCCCAACCGATTTCGAAGTATCTTACTCATTTGGGTAAGCTTTTGCTCATTCTAATCTAATTCACGGCTAATCCCAATGCCCATGTTTTTGCATCGGGCATCGGCACAGCCAAGGCAGGGGCTCTCCCCCGGTCGACCCGGGGCCCCAGACTGACTGAGTGGTTTCGGGGGGTACGATACTCCTGAGGTATGGCCTACAAAAAACAACCAGATCTCATTGGAAATATACAACATTACAGATCATGCAGAGTTGCGTTGCACCTTTTCCTGATCACCCGGGAGTTGACTAAGATCTTGGGGAAGGCAGGCACTACAGAGGCCCTACCCCTGGCGCTGCACCCTCCTGGGCTGTCGGGTCATTCTTGCCGGGCCGGGCGCCACCATCCAGACCCCAGTCGGGAAGGGATGGCTCAGCACCACGACTCTGTGCCACCACCACGCCAGATAAACAGCTCTCGCAGCAGGAACCTGCATCTGCCGCCAGGAGGAACTCCAGCCGAGAGCGCTTGCTCGTCTCCCCCCTCATTTCGACCAGGACGGCCTCTGCCTCAGGTGTGCCACCACATGTCACACCCTTGGCCCGGTGCACCACGCCACGGACCCCGGTGGTCGCCCAAGCCAGCGCCAGCTGGGCCCTCAGCTCGGCGCTCGTTTCGCGCTCCTGGAAGAGCTCCCGTTCCACCGATTCCAGTCGAGTCCTCAGCACCGAACACTCTGCAGCCGCGAGGGCCTGGCCCGAGCTGGGCCCCGTCGGTGCCGGTGCGCCAGGGCGCCGCCGGGAGACCGAGAAGGCGTAGGTCACCAGCACAAACCGCGGCGATGCATCACCGCCGCCTGCCAGACGGTAGCACCGCCGTTGCAGCGTGGCTCCGCCCGTGAGGCTGATGGCCGGGGCATGGGAGTAGTACACCTCGAGGGCGCAGCCACGCAGTCGGGTGTGGGATGCTGCATGGAGGGGGGGAAGGATGAGGGGGGGGAGGGAGGGGAGAGGGAAGGGGTTAGTATGCTGAAATCGATTGTGCATCCCCCCTCCGCGTGAGCTCTGGTGATCTCCGTGTCTTCCTGGAGCACGTCTGTGCTGCCTCCGAGGCTGGTGGTCTCGTGTCCTGCCCATTGCCCGGGGCTGGGGGTCGTCCTGTGGTCGAGGATGCTGAGGAGAGAGAGTGTGGCCCGGCCAGGGACCCTCTCAACAGGCAGGTGGTGGGCGTGCTCTCGAGCTGGTACATCCCGGAGCCAGAAGTGGGCTGGGATGGTGTTCTGGTGCCTCAAAAAGGCGGTGGTGGGCTGGGGAGCGACAGACCTTTCTGGGAGGGCGGTGACCAGGAGACACCGTCGAAGATGCTGCAGGCCCGCTCGTCAAACAGATGCCGACCTGCGGGTGGGCAGGAGGCATGCCGTGATGAAGACTGAGATTGCGGAGCGAGACTGTGCCCAGATCGGCCGGCACCCAGATCCGACACCCAGCCCGGTGACGCGCACCGGAAGGCCGGTCGACGGGAATGGTGCGAGTGAGGTGCCTCGGCCCGTGCTGCAACAGCCATTCGATGCCGGCGTATTCCTCAGACTTGGGGAAGCCAACTCCGTACAGCGCCGATGCCGCATACGCTGGCAAGGGCTCCTCGAAAGGAGACTGAGCCGTGCACAACCCGGCCATGCTATTCCTGGGCATCCTTACAGATGATATGGAATGCTCATGTGAGCCTAAAATGTAACTTGTGTGCACAGGGAGGGAATGCACGAGTCCGAGCAGATTCTTACGATGATTCTCGTGAAGCTGCCACAGCAGCTGCATGGGGCATGCTCCCTGATTCAGACCCATCAGACCAAACCCCCTCGCTGCAAGACAAGTTACTTGCTCGCTATCATATCGGTGGGTGCAGCTGATAGAGGGCGATCGTGACACTCTTTGTGGGAGTTTGGATGCAATTGGCATGGTGATAATTCCATTCGCTGGCACCAGGAACTGTAGATTAAAATGTGCCAAGAGCACTGGTGGCATTGAGAACTGTATATATGAATTGAGAGTGCATCCTCATTATTTTGTTGCTGCTGTCAAATTGTATTAGCAGTCAGCAGCCCAGCAGGTTTCCAATAGTTGACATGGGCACAGTCAGCATGAAAGTGCACCTGTGAGCGGTGACCCGTGGGATGTTTGAGCTACTTTAACAGACCAATCTTCTCAATGTGAGGCTCCATGATACCTAGTCTCATAGGGCAGTCATAGGGAGTAGAGTTGGGAGGCTATGAGTCTGGCTCAGCAATGCTGGACCAGAAGAGGAAGCATTCGGGAAGACTAAAAGACCCCAAATATGTAGATACTACTGTTCCATTGGCCCTTGTACAGACAAAGCAGTTGTCGCATGTCAAGGTGTAGTGAAAGGCAGAGCTACCCTCACCTAGGCGAGAGTTTGGTACTGCAGCTTCGGCCCCCATCCAATGTCATATGGGCCCCCCCGACCATTCTCTCCAGCAACCTGCTTCCCAAGGTTTCATGCGCTGCTGCGGGATGCATACATGTCTCTGACCTTCTGCCCGTCTTGTGGCAACCTGCTGCTGGGTGGGTAGACGAGGCTGGTGTGCAGAATGGGGCGCCCCTCACCACCGCGACGAAGGCCAGTGAATCTTTGGACGGGGCCCATGCGCGATCCACCCTCAATGATGAACTCCCTCTACCATATTCGCAGTCGAGCTTTTAAACGGAGATAATTCCCTCACTTGCCAGACGTGCCCGTATATCTACACCCTCGACAGGCCTGTACGTGGTGCTGTTTGGGGTGGGGGCACCCCTCCGCATGTATGGGCTGTCCGCAGCGATCAAAGCCGTTCATCCGTTCACCGGTCGAGCTGAGCGGCCCAAGGTCCTGTCTCTCACGATAGAGTTCCAGTGGTACGATTGGGGCCCTGATGCCTCTCCATGCCTGCCTGCTGCAGCTGATCAAGAGGGTGCAGCTCAAGCGCAAGGAGGTTGACGACGTCCTGGGAGGGGAGGAGGCTTGGGCAAACGTTCAGAAGACGGACGGTGGGTGGGTGGTGTCGACACTTGGGGGTTGAGCTCGGGGCAGCGCAGCACGCTCGGCAATAGAGCAGCTGCTTCTCGGCAAGGGCCACGCTGCTCTGTTTCTCGTCGCATGCACCATTTTCTTGCTCTTCGCTGGCCCTCTGTTCTGTTCTTTGAATGGCGGGGACCTGATCGGCACTCCTGTCCTTCCATCACCGCCAACCCTCCTTCCATCATCGACCCTCCCTCGCAGTCACCTGCCCCAAGTGCACGTACCACCAGGCCTACTTCATGGAAATCCAGATCAGGTCTGCAGACGAGCCAGCCACCCTCTTCTTCAAGTGCGTCCAGTGCGCTGCCCAGTGGCGCGAAGGTTAGGCACCCCGCTCCAAGGAGGCACACCGAGTTGATACATTGAACCTGCCCAAACATGCAAACCGCTCGCGCCCCGAGCGCCCGCCACGGCACCCGCGCCCCCTGGGCGGGGCGGGCTGGCGGGCCAGCTCTGCACGCGCCGCCGCGCGCCGCTCGGCCCCTGGTCGAATCGCTGAGCCCAGCAGGCCGGTCGAGCGCGGTTGGATCTCGCAGGCGCAGACACGAGGTCGGCCTGCTGGCCGCGGCTGGAAAGGCGGGGGACAGGGCAACAGGGGGCGCTTTCCCAGCAGGAGACTCCGCCGCAGAGTCCAGATCGGTGGCTGGGACCTCTGCCGTCGGAGCCCGGGGTGAAGCACTGCCCGCGCCAGGTCCTCCAGGATCAGGCCCTGATCGAGCCGCGCAGGCTGTTTTTGGCACGGGGGAGGGCGCCGGCCAGCCGCCCGTCGCCACGAAGACAGGGACGAAGGACGTGCTGGGCGCCGGCGACGCGCCGCGAGAGTCCGAGGCTGCCCTCACGCTCGGCGCGGCGCCGGCGGGACGGGAGTCGGAGCTGGCCGAGTCCAGGCGGCAGTACACGCGGCTCAGCGGCGCGGTGCAGGCGCTGACCGCCGAGCTGGCACAAGCGCAAGCCTCGGCGGCCGAGACGGAGCGCCGGCTGTCGGCCGCCGCAACGCACGCCGCGTCGGATGCGCGCGAGCTCCGGCGGCTGGGCGCCGAGCTGGCCGCGGAGAAGGAGCGCGGCGGGGCCCGCGGGCGCGCCGAGCCGGACCCCGGGTCGCCGGGTGCGGGCCGGGTGGCGGAGCTGGCCGCAGAGCTGAAGGGCCTGCGGGCGGTGCAGGCCAGCCGCGACGCCATGGTGGCCGAGTGGGCTGCCGAGGCCGCGCGGTCCTGCGCCCTGGCGCAGCAGGCCGCCGCCGAGCACGCTTTGATCCTGGAGCGGCTGGAGGCGCGCGAGGCCGAGCTGGCGGAAGCCAGACGGCGGCTGACCGAGGCTGCCGAGGCGCAGGGTGCCGCAGCGTCTGGTGGTGTGGGGCCGGGGTCGGGCGTTGCTGAGCCAACCGGCGACAACAACGCATCTGGAGTCGAGGGCGGCGATGCGGAGCTCAGACTGGCCGCTGCACTGGCAGCCCTGGAGGAGACGGAGGAGGAGGTGGATGCGCAGGCGGCCCTGATCGCCCGGCTCCAGGCGGAGGCCGTGGAGGCCGCGGAGAGGCTGGCGTCCGTCCAGAGGTGCGCGCGGTGTAGTCCCCGGGGGCCTGGGCGTGGTGTGGCCGGGTGGTGGATGTGGCTGCCGATGTATGAGGAGAGGGAGGGAGGTGGAGGAAGGTGAAGAAAGAGGACACTGGTGGTGTCAGAGAAGCATCACATGGGGTTTAAAGCACAGGCCCCCTCGGCCGACAGTCTTTGCGCATGAGACCGGGGTGTTTGCGGTGACATCAGGACCAAGTACCTGATCCTGATCAGAAGGCCAGCAGGCATTGCACATCCACCGCAACTCAGCCCGCCCTCATCTCCCTCGCCCAGTTCTGCTGCGGCTGATGTGGAGGCCGGCAACGAGCTGCTGGCGGCCGCTGAAGCCGCCCTCCAATCCATGGGCACCCGCCTGCGGGCTCTGGAAGAGGGCAGGGCAGAGGGTGATGCGGGGGCAGAGGCCGGGCTCAGGGCCGAGCTGGCGTTTTTCCAGGCCGAGCTGGAAGCCGAAATGAAGGTGGGGCCCGCGATGTCTCGGTGCCATTTCAGGGGCCAGGGGGAGAGGACCGGGCCCCCAGATGCATCGCATGTGTGCATCTTCATGGCGTCCTGGCAGCTGTGACATGCTGGCTTTGGACTCACCGACCCATAAGATATTTTGCCTCCACGATCCAGTTTTGCGAGCAGGCGGCACAGCGAGCCGCTGCGGCTGAAGCGGAGGTGGAGCGCCTGAGGAAAGAGGTGGGTGGTTGCGGTGGTGGCTGGCTGGCATGGAGATTGATCAGCAGTGGAAATTGTGTCCAATAAGCAGACCAGGCCATGGACCAAGCTCTGATCACGATGCACCCGGTAAGCACAGACGCTCTCCTCACCGCTGCCACTCCACCGCACCCAGACCCCTGCTGAGGTGCCCAGGGACCTGTCAGAGCTGGAGGGCCTGATCGAGCGGCAAGCCAAGGTGCGGATCCGCTGTATGGAGTCTAACTAGGTGCTGTTGTTACCGATGTTGCTGCGCTCTGCAATGTGGCATGGGGTTCAAGGATGTCTTCCAATAGATCCTATGCAATGTCTTGAAGCTGCTACATCCCTGTGTTTACATCTCAATGACAGGCTTTGGCGGATGCACGGGCAGAGGCTGCTCGTGCGGCGGCTGAGGTCGAGCGGCTGACGTCGCAACTGGAGCGTGCAAGCCCCGACGGCATGGCGGCGGAGGCCGCGAAGCCTGCCCCTTCAAAGAGCCACGGTTCCTGGTCCCTGGGAGGTAAGTCATGGTTGCATGAGTGCGGAGGAGCAGACTGAGGGAGTTCATGGCCTGAGGCCGCCCTGTCCCCAGGTGCCAGTGAAACTTTCGCCGGTTGGGGACCCCTCAACCGTGCTGGGCATTGCGGGGTATCGTGCACAGCCTGGTCTGCTGCACAGTCAGGTTGCGCATACTCACATCGCCCCCTGCTGTACCACCCCTCGATCCGCCCTTCCTGCAGGTCAAAACGGCGCCACCACGAAGGCAGCCGTGTCCCTGGAGGCCGCGCTGCAGCGCATTGCTCAGCTGGAAAGCGAGAATGAGGACCTGAGGAGCGACGCCCTGGAGCGGGACGCCATCCTGGCGCAGTCGCGGGAGTTCATCGCTAGCACCCTGGCGGGCTTCAAGCTCGGATCCAGCGCACAGGCGGGGCCCTGACCCTAAGTTTGAGTGTGCTGTGCGGGTGGCGGAGGATGCCTCCCTCGTCTCTTGCTCCCCTTGTGAGTGCTCTGGTGTAGCGACGCAAGTGTGCAATGAAAGAGGGAAAGGTGCGGTTCAAGTGCTTAGGTTGCCGACTCTGGGACCACTGGTACGTTGCAGAGCCCCGTCGTCGTCGGCACACAGCCTCGCTTGCAATGAGGTTGCAGCCATCTCAAGCCTCGCATCCGTCGGTCTGTTTGGTGAGTCATGCATCGGTCCCCACGTCGCCAAGGTCTGAGGCATGCACCGCCTCATCACCGGGAGCTTCAACACCCACTGCATCGCTGCCTGTGCCAGAGGCTGGGGCGCCAACCACATCGTCAGCCCCAGCTCCCTCTGGAAGTCGTAGCACGATCTGAAGGTTGGGGGGTGCCCACAAGGGGAGAGCGCGTGAGAAACTAACTGGCTCACAGCTGGTAAGTGGTGATTATGCAGCTTGAGGCTTGCCAGAGGCTGGATGCCTTCGCATCGTCAGCCACCCGGCCGCACCCCTCTCTCATCGACACCCCCTCCCATTCTGCCATCCCGCCTGCCTTTTCTGGTTGAAGGAAGGACTCGCCCTCCAGCGCGCCTCGTTTCCTTTTCCGCAGCGCCAGCTTGGTGTTGAGGTCGTGGTACCCGACCCTGTCGTGGGTCCGCCTGAACAGGAAGGTGCTCTCTGCATGACGATTGGTATGGGATTGGGCAGGAGGGTGATGGGCAGGAGGGTCATGTTTGGTTAAGACTGCTGCCTTGATCCGGCTATGCCCCCCTCTGACAGCTTGTCCAGCGTCGGGCACACTGAGTCTTGATGGACCATCACCCGACCCACATGTCCCCCACCGCAGCCCTATGTCCTCCTCTTTCCGCTGTCATAAGTCTGCGCCCCTCTGCTCACGTTTGTCGTCGTATCGTACGCTGCTGTCGTACTCCCGCACCCACTCGTAGTCGCCCTGGAGCTGCCGCGCCGACAGCGCCCCGGAGTCTGGCCCAGCGGGCAGCGTCCCACTGGGCACCAGCAGCGCCACGAATCTGTCCAGCTGCCCGTCTGACTTCCGTTGCGCAAAGGACTTGAGCTGGACCGCCTGCGTGGTATGGGCGGTGAAGTGTGGGTGTGTTTGATCTTTAGGAAGGTGGTAATGTGAAGCCCAGTCTGGGATTGGAAGACCGAGGACCACGCGATGGCGCCATACTCCTTACATCCAGGTCTCTCTGCGCACACGGCAGTCTGCCCGCCATCCACAGGCTCGCCAAGCCACAGCCCATGGCCTGAGACCGACCTGCTTGACCCTGGAGAGCTGCCCCTGCTCCAGCCGCGACAGGCGATCGATGTCTGCCACTGGGTCTGTATCGAAGAGCGCAAGCACGTAATTCCTGCCCGCCAGGGAGTCATCAGGGAGGACTGCAGGGGCAGGGGCGAGGGTTGGGAACGCAGCATGAGCCCATCAACCAGGTGGATGCAGCAATATCTCCTGCCAGAGTGCCTTGATGCCTTGGGCAGCCACATACCACGCTGGCTGGAGCGGCGTCACACGCACAGCAGCAGCTGGTTTTGGCGCAGAGGTGATCTCATTCACACCGCCTACCCTCGCCCCAGGAAGCAGTACACGACACCGAGACTCCCACCCCCACCTCACCTGGAAGCACTTCCACAGCCGTGAGCTCGGGCTTGGTCGCATGCACAGGCGGCAGCTCGGCGGCAGCAAAGGATTCCTGGGCGAGCGGCGGGGTGCATGGCTGATGTATTCTGCCAGGTGTCTGTCCAAGCGACCAGGCCTTATGCGCCTGCCTGGCGTGTCAGCCGCTGCATGACGCACCCAGAGATCTGATGGCGGTCACAACCCCCCCTTCAATCTTCTCCAGGCCAGCCTGGGCCCAGTCTGTGTGATGCAAAACTACCAGCTGGCGCCACTGCCACCAACCTCCCAGCCACCCCATACCTCGATGGTGGCAATGCGTGCTGCGACGTCTTCGCCCAGCTCCTCGTCAGCGGCCGCATCGGCGCCTCGAGAGGCACGCGAGTCGGGGCGCTGGCTGCCCTTGTCCGCGCCGTGCCCGCTGGTGAGGTAGGAGGTGCGGAGGAGCCAGGAGACCTCCGAGGCGGAAGCGTGCTTGCCCTTCTTCCCGTTTGCGGTGTCCCCCGTCTGCAGAGATGATGGGAGGGCCAGAGCCGGGTGAGGAGGGCCCGGGGGGGGGGGGGGGGGGGGGTTGCCAACGACAGAGTCCTGATTCGGGGACGTGCGCTACCTGCTGCAGCCCGCCTACGACGCCGCGGCGCGCGC